TACCAATAAAAAATGTTATCCAAAATTATTCCTTTTGAACTTTTGTAGTTGATAAAAATGTCTAAGGTGTTCTTTGATTTTTGGAAAAATGTCAGCACTTATATGACTGCGAGTGGAAAGATATCTATGTTTGCGGAGCTTTGAAGTGCGTTTATTTTTAACAATCTGTAGACGCAAACCGTCTACGTGTTAAAAGACTTGGACCAATGTCTTCGAACGGGAAGACCTTTTTTGCAGACCTCTATAAAAAACTTAAACTTAAATTAGGTCGACACTTTATCCTTCAAAAAAAGAATGGCGCATTTCCAACAATCTATTCTGAAACGTATTCTCCATGCAATCGCTTCTTATCCAAGTACCACCATCATCGTTCCTGTTCCTGCTCTAATCGCCGCTGACAGTAGTCTACTCCCATCGTTGTTCCTCTCTCTTCCAACAACGCATCTGCCTTCGTCGGAGGTTCTATCATGTAATCATAGCTTGTTTCTTTGGCATTGATGCAAGTTCTTTGAATGTGTATGTGTATGATGTCATGATGATGTCTGCATGTGTATGAGCTTTCTTTCGCCGCATCTACCTTCTTCCTTTGGCATTGTTGCAAGTTCAAATGTTGCCTTCCTTTGGTTGAAATCTAATTGTAAAAAATACAGATGAAAAATTGTTAAACTGTGTGGATTTTAGTTGAAATTTGAAGTTTCTATCGATGTGTATTATATTTATTACTTACAACATGCTTGTATCAATGTTTATATTATTTTATGAACTTAAAATCTGTTTTTATGAACTTGATGTAGATTACCATGATAGTTGCTATATGATAGATGTTTATACGAATCTTAATACATGATAGTTGTTTAAGTTGTTTATATGAAGTTTGATATGTGTTTATAATCAATATGTAGCTTGTGTAAATGGGTGAGAAAATTCAATGGTCCTATGAACAATTAAAGTGTTTACTCGATACGTGCATCGAATAAGTTAACAAGGTTGGTAGAAAAGGTTTAAGCATGCACAAAGATTCATGGATTAAATTAGGAAGCGCTCTTAAAGAAAAATTTGGAATGGAATTGTCCCAAAAGAAAATGAAAAATACTTGTGATAATCTATTAGATGAGCTTATTTGAAAAACAAAACTACAAATTGTATAACCCTAAACAAACTTGTTCAACTTAATGTCCAAACAATGGGATAAATTTAAGAAGGTATTTTTTTCATAATCAGAGTGTGTGTGTGTGTGTGTGTAAAAATATAATATTTTTATATTATTTATAACAATTTTGGTTTAGGGTCACCCGAAGGCCTCAGTACTGAAAACACATCTATTAGCTTATCTAAAGCTTTGTGCATCTTTGTTCGATGGAAGTAGTGTTACCGGTAATTTGAAGTGGGCCTCAAGGCAAACAGGCAAAACAAGCCAAACAAGCCAAACAAGCCAAACAAACCAAACTATATCATGTAATAGATCATCTTCTTGTCATGTCCAACCATTTCAGCTTACAGGCGCCTCTTTTTTTGCATTAGATGATGATGATGATGATGACACTTCCCATTATACTAGTGAGCCTTTTCCCGAGCCACCTTTTGTTGCTTTTCCAAATAATAATAAGCCCAAGAAGAGGGATAAACCCTCAACTCCTAGAGCTGTTAGTGGCTCGCCTTCTGCTCCTTCTGATTCATCTCCTAAAACTTTTTATCACCGCTGATGATTTAGCTTTTGATATGCAAAAAGTTCTACATCATTTGATGAAAGTATCGATAGGGCCAACAAATCCTGAATGCTTAGATGGTTATGTTTGTTATGATGATTGTTCATAATCAACGTTATGTGATTATCAAACGTAGTTTTCAACACTAAAAGAAAACAATTCATAAACTTTTTATGAAGTGTTGGATAAAATGATGTTTTTGACAAAGATATTGTAACACCCCCTCTAGCACGTATCACAATATTGTCCGCTTTGGGCCACTCGGCACGAGGACTTCCCAAGGGGTCACCCATCCTAGTACTACTCCCGCCCGAGCACGCTTAACTGCAGAGTTCTTATGGGATCTGCTGCCCTCACGGCTTTAAAACGCATTGTGACAAGGAAGGTATCCACACCCCTTATAAGGAGATGTTTCGTTCTCCTTCCAAGCCGATGTAGGATCAGGTGCAACCCACCTTTACCCCCCATTATAGGGTTCGACATCCCTGTCGAACACATCGAACCGTGCCCTGGCTCTGATACCATTATGAAAGTGGGTTAGATCTGATCCCACATCGGCTGGGAAGGAGAACTAAGCATTCCTTATAAGGGGTGTGGATACCTTCCCTATCACAACGCGTTAGTCATGAGGGCAGCAGATCCCATAAGAACTCTGCAGTTAAGCGTGCTCGGGTGGGAGTAGTACCGGGATGGGTGACCCCCTGGGAAGTCCTCGTGCCGAGTGGCCCAAAGCGGATAATATTGTGATACGTGCCAGATGGGGTGTTACAAATGGTATCAGAGCCAGGGCACGGGTCGATGTGTTCGACAGGGACGTCGAACCCTATAATGGGGGATGAAGGTGGGTTGCACCTGATCCTACATCGGCTTGGAAGGAGAACGAAACATCTCCTTATAAGGGGTGTGGATACCTTCCTTGTCACAACGCGTTTTAAAGCCATGAGGGCAGCAGATCCCATAAGAACTCTGCAGTTAAGTGTGCTCGGGCGGGAGTAGTACCAGGATGGGTGACCCCCTGGGAAGTCCTCGTGCCGAGTGGCCCAAAGCGGACAATATTGTGATACGTGCCAGAGGGGGATGTTACAAATGGTATTAGAGCCAGGGCACGGGTCGATGTGTTCGACGGGGACGTCGAACCCTGTAATGGGAGGTGAAAGTCGGTTAGATCTGATCCCACATCAGCTAGGAAGGAGAACTAAGCATTCCTTATAAGGGGTGTGGATACTTTCCTTGTCACAACGCGTTTTAAAGCCGTCAGGGCAGCAGATCCCATAAGAACTCTGCGGTTAAGCGTGCTTGGGCGGGAGTAGTACCGGGATGGGTGACCCCCTGGGAAGTCCTCGTGCCGAGTGGCCCAAAGCGGACAATATTGTGATACATGCCAGAGGGGGGTGTTACAGATATGATAGTACTAACTATGTTTAATCCGAATCAAAACATTCCGGGACATAACAAGAGGCTACAACTGGTTTTTAAAAGAGCGGTTGATGCATTTGATGATACTGTGATACATGCTATTGTCCCTACTACAAAACAAGATTTATATAGAGGTAGGGGAAAAAGTGATTGTTACCAAAACGTATTAGCAGTTTGTGACTTCAACATGATTTTTATATTTATTGTGGCCACATGGGAAGGGGTAACATATGATTCTAGAATACTATTAGAAACATTAGCAAATCGACATGCACCATTCTCATTTACACCACCAGGTATGTTTAAGGGTTTTAAACTTTTTATATCTTACTTTAAAAACTGATTATTTATTTGCATTTTTTACAGAAAATATTATCTTTGTGATGCTGCATATTCACAGAATCGAGAATATATGGTCCTCTATCGTAATGTGAGGTATTGGCTTGGAGATTTTCATCAGATACGTGCATTAACCAGTAAAGAAAAATTTAACCATGCACATGCAAAACTTCAAAACGTTATTGTACGTGTTTTGGTGTCTTGAAAGCATGATTCCCTATATTGAAGATGATGAACACAAAGAAACATTACCATTGCATGTTTTGCGCTTCATTATTTTATAAGGAAAAAAGGATTGAATGATGAATATTTTGTTAGAAATGTTGAACCCAATGTCCCATTTCGAAATAACAATGTGTCCGTTCATTATAATGAATACGAGGTTCCAACACATAGTACTACAATGGATTGTGAATATATGACTAAATTACGCGATAAAATTGTTGAACAGTTAATGTGAAATATGGAATGAATTATTCTAAATATAATTGTTATTTTAAGACTAAAATTGTTATTGTAAAACTACAATTATTGTGATTGTTATTTTAGTTCAATGTTTTAATACTTGAATTAGAGGCGGATCCAAGGGGATCCCGGGGTAGCCCAAGATACCCCTCAAATTGTTTCGGTAGTGTAATTTTTGTTTACGAATTCTTCATTTTTTTTCGATATAATGTATATATACACGTCCCTTCAATTATAACCACAAACAAATAGTAGAGCTAACGGTTAAGGTGCTGACTTATTGAAGTAAAACTCTCATGTTTAATTCTTGCTCCTTACATATCCTTTGTCTATTTTTTTCCCAACAATTTTATCTCACATCGCTAAACATATGTAAACTCAACAATTTTTGTCTATTATATAAGTCTGTTATCCTCATACTTCATTTGATATCTACTTTGAATCCCACATCGATTCAAGTATATATATATATATATATATATATATATATATATATATTTCAACTTCATGTTTATATAACAAGACTTGAGATTAATTAATGATTTGATTAAGGTTTGGGTTTAAAACTGATATCAAATCAGGGAAACCGGGTACCCCGGAATAAAATTTGTGTTACCCTAAATATAAAACTGAGATACCCCTTTGCTTTGATCCTGGCTCCATCACCGACTTGAATTATTTAAATTTTGGTGTTGAAAAATCTAAGACTTGAATTATTTAAATCTCGATGTTGAAAAATCTAATTTATGTCTGTAAAACTAGTTTATTTAAATTCTAGTTTATTTCAACAAATTGCTGACGTTAAAAAAAAAACATTATTCTTCTTGCATACTGCAAATATTTTGTCCACCTCTTCTTCTGCAAAGACATGCCAGATGTGGTCCGTTGCAGACGTTTTGGCTCTGAAAAAACAAAACAATACCTAAAACTTTTACTATTCAATGACATACACTTTTCCACCCCTCAAAAATCAATTTATAATTTTTCTTTATTTCACAAACAAAAAAAAAAAAAAAAAAAAAAAACTCAATCTCGGGTTCAAACACAAAACATAACAATAAAAAAAAAAGTTTATTCCATTATAAAACTGATGACTTGTTTTCTGCCCAAAGACCACACACATACATTAAATTAAAAAGAAACACTCGCAACATTCTACATCTTATATCACAATAACAATTAATTCACACAAATAAGAAACCTCTCAAGCATTCAAACGTTTTCACAAAGAAGATCCCCTACTGCTTTCTCCAAGATTTGATGGACCAGGACTCGGTGTTTGCTTGATTTCAATCCCTTTTCCAACCGATCCCGGGCTCCTTACACGTGGACTGTAACTCTGCTGACGTGGACTATAAATATGCTGACTTGGACTGTCGTAAGTCTGCTGACGTGGACTATAAGCAGGCTGCATTTGTTGAGGAGTTTGAGTCGAACTTGTTATTTTTGGACTGTTGGAATGACGGATCTCTCCTCTGCTTCTTGTCATGATTCCATCAAGAACCTGCGCACTATCCATTTGGGATGTTCTTGATTGAGCATCATCATCATCCTGTAAAACAAATTATATAATAAACAAAAGTGATTAGTAGGTATCTGTCTTTTCTTTATGCAAAATGCAAGAAGAAAGTTGAGTTAATTACACGAAATGCCATATTGTAGGTGGTGGGAGGGGCTTCTTCATATTCAGCAGCATCCAAATCTTGAAGATGTGCGCTTTTGAAAAGTTTTGGAAGCAAATATTGTCTTGCAGGAACAAGAAGCATGATCAAGAGTGGGAAAAGAACACTCGCAATTGGAATCCATGTTATGCCAAAACAAGCCAACAAGTAAACCGTTTGAAACAATGTAAACCAAGCAACTGTTTTGAATGGAACACTTTCAACAAAACTCGCATGATTTTCTTCCAACACCCTGATATATAATAAATCAAATAGCAACAGAATTAAATAAAGATCTCAACTGAAACTATATGATAACCCTAGGGACTAAAGTTGTAATTTACTCAAAGTAAGTAAATATACGGGAACTAGAAAACGTACTTGTATCTTCGACTTGGAGCAGTGAAGAGTAATAAGATTCGTTCCCAAAATTGATTACCAGGTAAGCTTTCAATCGCCATGAAAGCAAAGTAACCCCAAAGAACCGAAGTCGGAATCTTTTTAAGAACCGGCATCGCAGCCAGACAACCGCCAACCATCACCGCTTGTAGCAGATTGCTCAGGCGTTGCTCCTTCACTTCAACGTACAATAAATCATCGACATCTTTATTCACATCAAACACAGTTTCATCAACAGCTGCGTCGATGTAACCACTAGTAGACGCTTGTTGTATTGTCGATTCTTTTAGCTCTTTGAGCCCCTGTTGTTTCAAACCCTAATTGAATTATTACACCCGATCGAATAATGCAACTCGGATAATATTCTAATTTCATTTACCAGAGTTGATGGATTCTGATATACGAGTGGAGTTTGCATTTCGTTGTATGCTTGTTGCATATTTCGGTATAATTCACCCAGGTTTGTATTTTGGCGTATGCTTCTTCGAGCTGTGGATACAAGTTTATTTCGTAGAAGCTGTTTCAACAAAGACCAAAGCATAAAGTAAACTACCATTAACAACAGGGTAAATTTTATGCATGAAATTTCAAGATACTTTCATTTTTTTTTTTTCCTTTTACAACATTGTACTTTGAAAAATCAACCCAATTGTTATTATAATTATGTGATCCAAATATAAAAACATTTTTCACTGCTATTATTGGGTAATAAGAAAATGTTGAAAGAAAAAAAACAAACAAATAAACATGATAATATAAACTACTTCTGCCACTAAGAGAGTACGGAAAATTGACTTTTGCGTGTCTAATAAGTTATTATTAATTTGAAAGTTACACAAAAAAATATATATTTTTTGTGTAGAAAAATTCAATCAACAACTGAACTAAGTAAAGAATATACGTACAAAAAAAAAAAGAATCGGAGTTTATACTTATGCTTGAATCATAATAATGTCAGGAGTTGACTCTTTTAGCTGGGGGACAAAGGTGGACCTAGTTTTTAATATATATGAGTTTTTTTTTTTTTTTTTTTTGAAAAAAAATAATGATCACATGTAAGTGTTTAAAGAAAGAAGAATGGCATAGAGGTGGACACTATAATTTAACATATATTACAGATATACATGCATGCGTATTCACATTCATACATCATCGATAGTTTGACCAATTAGTTTAATTTAAACTGCATCGTCCTTTAACAATATAATAATAAGCGGAAAAAGATATCTTATTTTTTTAGTTGAAATAAATAATATTACCTGATGTTTTAGTGTGGCTAAGCTCTTTGTGTGCATTGGAGATTGTGGAATAACTCCATTGGCTGGAGGAATGCCAATTAGCCCACATAATAATGTCTGATACAAACAAATTATACATTTATACCAAATTTTTTATTTTTTGATAGAAGTGAGTAAATTAGCATTAAGGTGTGTTACCAAAAAGCCTAAAAGAAGAAGGTCATAATGATATGAAGGTGGCTTCTTTAGATTAAACTCTTTTTGTTGTGCAAGTTGAGATGCAACACTGTGATCAAAATAGTAGAGAACTGCAATCATGGTAGCTGGAACAACAGCTCCAATGATATAAACAAGAGGAACATTCAACATATCCTGCAAACACATTACAAATATCAAAAGAACAAAAATTAAAATCTTTTTCTGTTAATGTAAAATTATAAGTAAAAAAAAAAAAGGCACCTTTGCAACAGTCCAATTTGTATAAGCACCATGAGACCATGGATTTGGACTATAAAGTCGCCTTGGTATTCCTTCCGGAACATTCTTAGTTGGTATGTACGAGACACCTGTCCAAATAACCACCATAAGAGGGACTCCATAATCCGCAATGAATCCCCTCAGCCATCCTTCAAACACAAAATCAAAAAAGTCAACAAAAGTCAAAACAAGTGCGAGACAGTATTACGTGAAATACCAAAAACGCCCACCCGTCCCGTAGCGCCATGACCTTGCTTTACGGCTTTTTAAAGACGTTAAAAGAAGGCCAAAAGACAAAACCAATGCAAACATTCCGTTTCCAAAACGCCATGAAGGTTGAAATGCGAGTTGACTGGGGTTTTGACTTTTTGGTATGCCAAATTCCTCCACAACTCCCTACAAAATCACACTTAGGTTATTATGGTTTGATTGGAGAAAATCAAATGGTTTAAAGGTATTACACTCACTTTAATAGCTTGTTGCATAAAAAGCATTGCAATTAGAAGACCAAACAATTCACCAGCGATTCTTGTGAATCTATTGATAATAGAACACGCACCAAGAATCGACAGCAAAACCAACAGAAAAGCCGTCCACACACACACCCTGTTTACAAAATAAAAAAAGAAAAATATTTTTTATTTTTTATTTTTGTGCCAAAAAAAAAAAATGTTGTGAAAATTACCATGCAGTCCATGCTAAGAAAAGAGGCTTTCCAAGGTCTTTTTGGTCTTTAGCAAACTTGAACATAAAAGTGTACATTAACACAGTTGGCTCAGCAACACCTAATATAAGAAGTGGTTGCCCTCCAACTATCGAGTGAATGATGCCACATAATGCTGTTGACGCTAAAGTTTGCACAGCTGTTAGGCTTCCCTCTGTATCACATCAATATTATAAATTCAACTTTTTACACAAACTCACAATATCAAAAATCAAAATCACAAAACAGATTCCAACCAGTATCCCTTTCTAACTGCTCCCCAAAAGATATAACTGGAATTGCTGAAGCGAAGAATATATATGTTGTTGGAGCCAAAATCCTAATCACCAAAAAAAAAAAAAAAAAACATAATGTCTAAAAGCATAATAACACAATATATATATATATATGTCATAATTATAATAAACCCATAAGAAAATTCCATGGTTATGAGTAAAATTACTAAGAGAATCACGAACCTGATACCAGCTCGGATGCCACCTGTCCAGTCTTGTTTGTAGCAGAGCAATCGTCCTTTGAGATCGTTACTGATTCCACGGAAAGGAACAAATGTTTCTTCCATAAAGTTACAATATTTTGGTTTTATTTAGTTATGTGATGGGTTTTTCTTCTTTATCGAAGAAAGAAAAGGCTTGAGAGGCTAAGAACACACCCGATTTAAACGTGCATACAGAAGATATGTGTATAAATGGGCAGAAATACAAGGGATTTTGCTTCGTCACTAAAAGTGTGATGATCGGAATATTTAAATTTAGTCATCTGTGTGTGTTGTTGTTATGTGATGAGTGATGACCCCCGTGAAATCGATGAAAGTTGTAATATGTGCAATTGCTAATTGCTGTTACATCTTAGGGGGGTCAGTAAAGAATCAGTGAGTGTATATTGTTTGAATGATCAAAGAATCAAGTAATGAATGTGAAATAGAATAAGTGTTACGGATATTAACGGAGTGAATTCATTGGTAGTCAATGAGTTGATAGATTAACGAAATAGCAAAGCACTCCCCCATCTATAGAGATCGCTCGACTAACGGTTGACTTGATCAAAAAGTAGATCCATCATCTTAATATACTTGTTTGATCAAGAAAAAAGAAAGGAATTTCATCAAACAGTTGGAATGCAGTGGAAATAACAAGAACAGTTACATGTTACGAACGTTGAAGAAAGAGACAAGTTTCAAGGTGAGAAAATGGAAGCCAGAGAAAAGATCAAAACTCTAACGAGTTCCCATTTACTAAAACAAGAATTCTGTATTAATTCAAGCGAATGGGTATCTCTAAAAACAGAGAAAGTTTGATTCTTGTGTGAAACTAACGAGAATTCATGGCTAAAATATGAAAACTAAGATTCAGACGAGAGTAGAGCAAATGGGCATTAGCTAAACAGAGAGAACGATCCGAAAGAGTAGAAATCGATTTGCTGTTACATTATAATCACAAAAGAGAATCAAACCAGAAAGTTCAGCAGAAGAACATGCGCTTACGTAACCTTCAGTTTACATGAAATTGGAAATGTAGCCAAATCGATTCAAAGAACAACACGAAGAGAAGAAGGCAGAGGGGATTGGGAGAGAAAAAGGAAGTCGTTTAGGCAAGAAAGTATGAATATTAATGAGAGAGATAATTTGTGGTCAATGGCGAGTGAGCATATAAATAAACACTTCGTCCTGCCTCTGTTCAAGAGAAAACAAACCCAACACGCATAATTTAGGAGATAGAAAGAGAAAGTATAAGAATTCAAGGGGGAAAGTTACGGATTTCGGTTAAAATTAGTAGCCATGTTTTGAAAACCGTACCGGACCGGCCGGTTCAACCGGTTCAACCGCGAACCGGTCCCGGATCCGGTTCATAAAGGTCAAAAAACCGGTATTTGTTTGAACCGGTGAAAACCAGTAAAAACCGGTTGAACCGGTAAAACCGGTCAAAACCGGAAATTTTAAAAAATATTTATTTTTTTTTTATTTTTTGTATTTTTTATATAATTAAATATAATAATGACATCATCCGGTTTTTCCGGTTTTTTAGACCGGTCCGACCGATTGGACCACTTGAACCATCGAACCAGTAAGACGACCGGTTCGGTCTCCAGTCCGGTTTTTAAAACCTTGATTAGTAGCATAGTGTAACACTGTGATTGGAGCGACATCATACAGCAATGGCAGTAGAGAAATTGATGGGGGGAGGGAGTGCAAGGGGTCAAAATCATGATGCAACCGAAAGGTTTCAGTTATAACCATAGAAAAGGATACGTAAGCCATATAGCTTAGCCTAATTAGTAATTCCAACTCAATCAATGGGCTGTTTGATGGTGGTTTTTGGAAATAATTATTTAATGTAAAATAATTTAATTATGATAAAATATTTACAAATTTACATAAATGGTTACCGTGATTTTTTTTTAAAAGTCATAGATTAAATCGTAGCGTTTTTTTGGTTGAAGATGGTTCATATGGTTTTAATTTCATGCCACCCATATAAAATGATTTTTAACAAACTCATCCTACCCACCCAATCTTCTCACAGGAAAAAATAAATAAAAAAATAAAAAAAATAAAAAAATAAAATGCATCAACTCCATGAACAAAGCTTCTAACTTAACTCTTAACCTCTGCAAATCAAGCCTTAGAAATCTAAATCTAAAAACAACTTGCGGATTGCAAAAGTGTTCGAGAACTCCTTAAGGAGGAAAATCATGTTTATATCTATCCTTGTGGGTCTAATGTGTTGGCTTCTTTCCATCTCTTATCCTCTCCTAGTAAGTTGATTTGCATATTCAAATGAGCAAAAAGTGATAGCTTATTACTATTGGCTTTATTTCACTAAACACTAAGAAAAAGAATCAACAAAGTGATAGCTTATTACTATTGGCTTTATTTCACTAAACACTAAGAAAAAGAATCAACTCTCGTGTTTGATACAATTGAGAATTCATTTCATTAAACAATTAAATGGAAATGAGTTTTTCTACTTGGTTTATTGCTTTATAAACAACATTTTTTTTTTATTTATTTATAGAAATGCATTATGATGTACATCTTAATTAGTTAAAATATGTATATTTTATATTTTATATTTTTCATTTTAACATTAATTGTTACCAAATAATTTATTTTCTAATCAACTAATATTATTTTATATACATCTTTTATTGGAAAACATATTTCTAATATAAACGAATAACTTACAAATAGATTTTAAAGAAATATGGAAAACATAATATGCAAAAAGTAAAATTCAATATTCCTAACAAACAAAAAAAGACAAAACTACAAATTTGGTCATTGTGGCTTGTCAAAACCTTTGGATGGGGTCTAAAAAGTTTCCAGCTTGCACCAAAGATCCAAAATCAAGGTTTTCATGGGTTTTTAGTCCATTCCGTCATTGTCCGTTTGTTTGGAGCCGTTAGTGCCATCACGTGCCCTCCATGTGAGGGCATTTTGGTCATTTTAGGTCCTTATTTTAAATAATATCATATTTCTCCTTTACATACATACTCATACGCAATCCCCTTCTTCTTCTTCATTTTTATTTACAAGAAAGCAGCAAAAAGGGCTTCTTCTTCTTCGTCTCTCAAAGGAATTCTTCTTCTTCGTCTCTCATCTACTTCTACTTCTACGAGATTCAAAAATGGTGCTCTGCTTCTGTGGGAACGTTGTTGTTGTGCGAACCTCATGGACCTCACGAAACCCTGGTCGTCGTTTCTATGCATGCCCTAAAATGGTAAGCAAACTCATATTAGGTTATGATATTTCGGTAGTTATGCAATAACTCTTATACTTTAATGTTTAATGTATTCTTGTAGGGATCCAGATGTGGATTTTTAGGGTGGTTCGATCCTGCTATGTGTCAAAGATCAACTGTTATCATACCAGGACTGTTGAGAACAATGAATAGGTATGAGGTTGAAGTGGGTCAGCTGAAGATGTGTTTGCTTGTCTCGTGGGTTTTGTTTGTGCTGTTTTGGAATTAGAGGTTAGGGCTTTTTTGTTGGTAATAACCACTTAAAAATGTTGTCTTTTGGTGCTAGAAGGTTTAATTGGGTTTTATATATGTTGTAAGTGTTGTCTTTTGGATCATTGTATATGTAATGCTTTTATGACAATGGGAAGTGTAATGGTTTATCCTTTTATGAATATGAAATTATAAAGGTTTGATCTTGACATGATATGCAAGTGTAATGGTTTTTCTCTACGCTTGAATATGCAATTGTAATCGTTTTACATGCATACATTAAATACATTGCCATAACATCTTCATGCTTTCACAGTACAACATAAACAAATAACAAACAACATTACTAAAAGGGGACCATAACAGATAAATGCCAAAACACAATCATTACCAACAAAGGACATTAAAGTACATTATCAAAACATTGGAGTACATTGTTCCATAAAAGGGCATCAAAGTATATTATCAAAATGGAACAAAAAAAGGCAACAAAGTACCAACTAAAGTGCATTAACAAGTCTGCACAAACATAAAAAGTACTTAAACATCAATTCCCATCTTTGGCCTTGCAGGTCCTGGCATTCTGACCCTTTTGCTTACACTTACTACATGTCACAGTAAAAAACTTCCTGCTCAATGATTGAGTTTCATTATCATTTTGACTTTGACTGTTTTCTTGTCTCTTACGTTGCTGGATTTCAATCCTTTCCTCTGTTGTTATCCTTCTTTTCTTTTTTGGCCTGCCTATAGCTTTGTTGTGTGGTGGAGGCACAAGAGTTGTTGGGCAGTCACTCTTAGGCCACATGTGTAACGCCCCATCTTTGGTATGTTGTTCCCGTGGCATTTATTTAGAAGTTTTATAGAGGGACTCGACGAGTCTATGGACTGACTCATCGAGTAGGGTCGAGTTTCCGTGCACGTGTTAGTCGGCGACTCGGCGAGTCCATATTCGGGACTCGGCGAGTCTGCCTGCCAGGATGAAACCCTAAATCCCTGGGTTGCTCGCTATTTAAGCAATGTTATGTGCCCTAAACTCGCCTCCTTCACCCTCAGAGAGAGCTGTGAGAACCCTAATCCATTCCTTGATTGATTTAAGTGTTTTTTGTGTGGATTCTTGAAGGCTTGAAGAAGAAGAAGGAGAAAGGAACAAGGAGAAGTGGTGTAGAGCAAAGATCCAAGGTCAAAATCAGAGTTCATTGAGGTATTTCTCGGAATCCCTCTGTTTTATGCTTAAAAACTTCCATTAGATCATTTCTAAGGCTAGTTTGACGCTTTTTCCAACCTTATAGTTCTATGGATGCCTTATTAGGTCGAGATATCCATAGATCTGTTCATTTAGGAGTTGTAGAGCCTGGATCTATTGCCTTTTTGAAGTTGCTTTGCATAAGAACCTTAGATCTAGCCTTTATCATGCTTTTTGAGCCTTATAATCTTCATTGATGCTTTTGGACACGTAAAGATAGAATCTTTACGTGATAATCGGACTAAGGAAGCTCAGATCTATAAAGTGTATGCGGTGGTTTTGATCAGAATCGAGTTTTTAGGATCTGCATGCATGTGACTCGGCGAGTCGTTCTTCGGACTCGGCGAGTCCGGTCGCAAGTCCCCGATCTTTACCCTTTGAGTGATTCCGAGTGGAGGCCAGTGAGTGGTAGGGTGGACTCAGTGAGTCGAAGGGTAGACTCAGTTATGGTGGGACTCGACGAGTTGTTCATACAACTCGGCGAGTCCAAGGCAATCTTCATATATCGAAGAACAACTCGTCGAGTTGTTCATATGGCTCGGCGAGTCGGATGCAGATTGTCTGAGTTTTTGAATCGAAAGGGTACTCATCGAGTCGATGCCATGCTCGACGAGTAGTCACGAGTAGGGTTGAGAAGTGAGATTAGGGACTCGACGAGTTGGCGGCCCAACTCGGCGAGTCGGGTCAACTGTAGATTGACTTGACCAAGAGAGTTGACTTTGATCAGGGGTATAAGAGTCATTTTACCCAATGCAGTGTTTAGTATCTGATTGTGTGTGTTATGGAATTGTAGCCGGGGAGATACCGGAGCATCAGCAGTTAGTTTCCAGAGCCATGCACACAACAGCCAGTTCATGAGGTGAGTTTCCTTCCAGTAGGAACGGGTCTAAGGCCACAATGCCGGCCCGTTCAGTTAGCCGTAGTTTCTAGACTTCGGTCCAATGCAGTAGTTAGTGTGTTTGACGCCTCCGTGGCTCAGACAGGATTTGTGTGCTTATGCTAGTTGATAGGTTATGATATGTTGTGTTCAGTCAGTCAGCTTCAGACTTGGGTTCGATGTAGGGGACAAGTTCCCAGTCAGTCAGCTTCGGACTTCGGTCCGATGTAGGGGACAAGGTCCCAGTCAGTCAGCTTCGGACTTCGGTTCGATGTAGGGGATAACGTCCCGGCCAGTCAGCTTCGGTCTTCGGTCCGATGTAGGGGACAAGGTCCCAGTCAGTCAGCTTCGGACTTCGGTTCGATGGAGGGGGCAAGGCCCCTGTATATGCTTTATATGTTTATATGGTATGTGGTAGTTTGGGGGAGCTCACTAAACTTCATGCTTACAGTTTCAGTTTTTGTTTCAGGTACTTCCGCATGCAAAGGGAAGAGCTCGGGTTTATGGCATCGCACACACCACAGCTTTAGCTTTATCCTGGGAGTTGATTCAGTTTCGTGATATGTTTGGATACAGTTGTGATACAGTTATTCTCACAATATTTTATTATGGTTTTTATTATGTGAT